ATATAATTATTTTGTGGACAAGAATCGTGCTCCTTCAACTTGGGGTGTGTGCCAAGGGCAAACAGCCATGAGAAACCACAGGATGGATGCGTTGCCACTTCCTGGAGCAATCCATTTTACTTGAGGAATCAGAAGAGAAGAATCTGGTAAATTATTTAAAACATGATTTTATATTAACACAGACTCAGATTTATCATGATGTAGGATGCAAAAGTTATATGGATGTTTCAGAACAAAACAGAAGATTTCAAGAGTTTTATGTTATGGGGCAGCTGCATTGGGGTATTCTCAGGCCACAGAGCTAGCCATTAACCCTCCTCTACTGTGCAGGGACATTAGTCAGAAGTTCTCAGACGCCACGTGTCAGTGAAGTGCTGGAGCTGGCTTGCCCCGCCTCACACGAACCCGTTGTGCACACCTCTCCCCAGTTCCATGTTCAGTGACATCAGTTTGATATATTACAGTAGGCCCTGGTGGGAGTATGTACACCATGGAAATTGGCAGACACTGCAAATTACCCAGCACATCACTGTCGCAAGGTTGAATACAGAGAGAATTCAGGCATCCAGGATTCTTTGTCACCATTTTCTACACAAGGGAAGCCTTGCTCAGCACAGTCAGAATTGAAGGCCAGGCCACTCGGTTTGTCACTGAGCCACAACTCGTCAACCTTAGTGTGGTCTGCTCCAGAGCTCCCCAAGTGCTGTGGCACTGTGATATAACAGAGGTGCATATCTCGTAACTGTGGTGCCACATTGACACCTCCCGAACCCTGCCAGAGAAGACAGTGCGAGTATTTGCCGTGTAGACCCTTATCCTGCTCTAAGAGGGCAGACTGTGCTGCATGTGGATGGGGCTTAAATCCAGGCTTCATCACTTAAAGCTCTGAGACGTTGGGCAGGTCTTCCCTCTTTCATCCTCAGAATGGAAACTGGAACCCATGTGGTCAGTTTGCTCTAAAGGTGAAATCATATAATGCATATAAATATCCAGTACAGCTCTCAGTCTCATATTTAGTACTTTTTTTAAGTTTTAAATTTTTATTGGGGTATAGTTGATTTACAATGTTGTGATAGTTTCAGGTATACAGCAAAGTGAATCAGTTATACATATATCCACTCTTTTTCAGATTCTTTTCCCATATAGGTCATTACAGAGTATTGAGTAGAGTTCCCTGTGCTGTACAGTAGGTCCTTATTATCTCATACTTATTATTAACTGGGAGGCATTGTTGTCACCAGGGGTTGAGCACATTTAACATGCACACACCTGAGGGCTTCCCCAGAGCATGTGAACAGAAGGATAGTAGACTGTTCAGAACAGAAGACTCACAGCCCACAGCACTGGCCACATGCCACACTAATAACAACAATAATGATAAATACAGCTACCATGATAATTGTCTTGTCTGCTCCTCACAGCAGCAGCCCTTCACCTTCCTTTTGCAGACATAAAGGATCAAGGTAAAGACCCAGTAAGGTTCAGTGTCTTGCCCAAGGTCACACAGCTACACACAGGAATGTTGGTCAACTCACAGCGTGCAGTGGAGAACAGGAGGTGAAGGCAAAGGCGTATGTAGTAACAATAGAATTAGTTTCCCACGTAATGAAGTGGCACCTACTACATGTTCAAGAGGCCCCTACCCCAGCTAAGGGGGCCAGGGAGGGCTCTTTGAAGAAGTGATGGTAAAGAAAGTATTTACTACTGGGCCATTTAGTCATTCAGGTAGCGAATAGTTAGCCAGCCCCTTCCACGTGCCAGCTCCTGGTCCAGGGCACAAGGGACTTATGCTCAAGTGGTTGGGACAGACTGTAAGCACCAGAAGCAAATCACATAGTGTGTTAGCGAGGAGAACTGTGGATAAAAGAGAATTCAGAACTGGGAAAGGGAGAGGTAGGGGGTGATGGATAGGAGGGTCAGAGGTAGGTTGCAGTAATAAATACAATGGTTAGGGTGAGCCTCACAGATAAGGTGAGGTTGGAACAAAGATTGAAGGGAATGAGGAACTGAGACAGGGGAAAGAGCATTGCAGGCGGGGTCCTGAGGCAGGACTGTGGCAGCTCGTTCAGGGATTGGCAAGGAGGCCAGTGTGAGGAAGGGGAGAATTGTAAGACCTGAATTCATAGCTCATGGGAGGGAAAATAAGGCCAGATACTACATGTAGACTCTTACCTAATCCTCACAACAACTCCAGAAGTAGTTCTGTGTTGTTCCCCTTTAACAGGGGAGGAAACTGGCACAGAGAGGCTAAGTAATTTGCCCAAGGTAACACAGCTAGTAAAAATAGTCGTCAAGCCCAGGTGGTCCAACTTCAGAGTGAGGTGTTTAACACACACCAGGCCACCTAGCTGTTCCCTGTAACCCAGGTGAAGACAGGGCAGGGCTCCAAGCTCCTTCTGGACCTGTGAGTCTGAGTTAGGCAGGGCTGGTGTCCCACGGCTCCTTTCTGCCCTGTTGGAGTGACCTCATAGGCTAACCTCAGTGATCTCCACCCAGCCCCTTTCATCTGGCCTTAGCGCATCCCTGAGATTCCTCTGAATCATGCATTTTTTTAGCACCAGGTCATTGACAGAAGAGAAGAAAAGCCCACTTATAGGGCACATGAATGGGAAGGAACAAATGGAAGGGTCACTGTATTTGTTTCCCATTGCTTTGGTGACAAATTACCACCAACTTAGTGGCTTCCAACACACCTTCATTCTCCTACGGTTCTGAAGGTCAGATGTCTGAAATGGTTTAGGCAGGGCCATGTTCATTCTGGAGGCTCTCCGGAGAATGTGTGACCTTGCCCTTTACAGCTTCTAGATGCCACCTGCATTCCCTTCCTGCATCTTCAAAACTGGTGGCACAGTGTATCCAGACCTTTTTCTCTCTGACTCTGCTTCCATCATCTTCTCTGTCTCTGACCTCCTGCTTCCCTCTCGTAAGGGCCTTATGACCACATTGAGCCCACCTGGATAATCCAGGATCATCTCCCCACCTCAGCATCCTTCATTTCGTCATATCTGCGAAGTCCCCATTTTGGCCTTTTTTAGACCCTGCCCTTTTCCAAAGACAAGAGGGCTTGGAATGACTGCTGTTAGAACTGTTCTCTGTGCTGTGGTTTCAACATAAAATGGTTGCACTCCACCCCACTTTCAGCATTGCAGGAAGCATTCTGGACTGGTTACTAAGTCAGTCAATAATTTTTATTGAGCACCGCTTTGCACAGGGCATGGTCTCAGACAGGAGGAGAGAGTGAACAAAATAGTTAAGGTGTCTGCTCTCATAGAGCCCAAGGCACATGGGGGAGATGGTACCTGCATAAACAAGCCCTTTTCAGGAAGCCGGGGGTACTGCACAGAAAATGGAGCAGTAGAATGGCGTAGACTGTATAGTATGAAGCAGTGCTGTCCTGTAGAAACATAATGCAAGGCAGAATTTTAAATTTTCCAGAAGCCATATTGAAAAAAGTAAACAAATTAATTACTAAAGTTAATTTTAATAATACATTTTGTTTAACTCAATACAGTATATCTGAAATATTACCGTTTTAATTCGTAATCAATATAAACAATTACCAGTGAGATTTTTTTTACATTCTTTTTTTCTTTTTTAACTGAGTCTTTAAGGTCAGGTGTGTCTTCTACATATATAGTGCACCTCAATCCAGACACTTAATTGATCTGTATTTAAATTTCATAAAATTTACCATTGGAAAAGTAGGTTCACACACCCAAGCTGTTCCAAACGTACTTAAAAGTTTATAGTAACTGAATCAAGGATCAATTCTTAATTTTAGATTAATAATAAATTTTAATTCAGTGATTTTAGTATTTATTATTTATTATGGTTTTAATAATAAACGAATTGAAATAAAATTAAACAGTTTCTTATTTCCAGAACTCCACGTCTCACGTGGCTGCTGGCATGTGTTGGGCAGCACAGGTATAGAGTGACTCAGGGTGATAGAGGGCCTCCTGTGGAGGTGATACTTGACATCTCACCTCTTCCTCTCCCACTAATGCACACCATTGAGATTACCCTTCTGGATTTCTGCATACCTATCTAATGAGTCCCTTCTCCAGCTGTTGCTTCCCCCTCGCCCCTCCCCCACCACACACACCCAGTTTATTTGCCACATAGCCACCGAGAAAAATTTTGTTAAATGTTAGGTCAGCCACATCATTCCTCTGCTCAGCCACCAACCCCCCATGATGCCTTATCGTGCTTAGGATGAATTCCAAACTGCTCCTCACCCCTTCATGATCTGGCCCCTCTTGCCCTCACACACCTCCTAGTCCACCACTCCCCGTCTCGCTCACTCTGCGTCAGCTCACCCGCCTTCGCATTTCCCTTCACATGGAAGCATGTGCCTGCCGCAGGGCCCTTGCACCTGTTGTACGTCTACCCAGAATGCCCTTCTCCCAGTGCCCAGGTGGCTCACACTGCAGTCACATCTCGGCTCAATGTTGCCTCCTCTGAGAGGCCTTTCCCTGCCACCCCGTCACTCCATCCCGTGCTCGGGTCCTTGTTTTCCTGCATAGCAGTGATCTCAGCTAACACTGTGTTCTTTTTTTTTTTTTTTTTTTTTAACACTGTGTTCTATCTGGACTTGTCTTCCCTGCTGGAATGTAAGGTACTTGGGAGCCAGTACCTCTCTGCTCTAACTCTGCTCTCTCCCCAGCACTGGGGACAGTGCCTGGCACCTGATGAGCACTCCACAATTCCTTGTCAAATGGAAGAACAGGTGTCTGCCTGTCTCATTTGCCTCCTGATCTGGAGCCTCCTGTGATCTTAAGAACAGATAGTGTTGGCTGTGGTCCCTCCCTGATCCTGAGAAGGGGCAGGAATGCTTCAGAAGATGGGGTAACCTCCCGCAGGGGCCAGGGGATTCTTATCCTAGAGACCCTGGGACCACCCAGAAGGCCCAGTCGACTCATGACTTCTCTTCTCTCCCAGCCCCACCTTCTCAGCACTCTGCCCCTCTCCAAATTGAAACCCTCAAGGGGGAGGAAAGGATGCCTGCTGCACGTGGGAAATCCAAGTCCAAGGTAAGTAGTGGTTCCTCGTCCTTTGGGAAAATTCCATCGTGTAAGAAACCATTTGCTTTCCTTCCGTGGGAACATCCTACCCCACAGAGACCCAACCAAGACATAGTCCCTGGTTTCCTTCCATCACCACCACCGGGCATGGGAGCGTGAGAAGGGCCACTCAGCGTCCCCCCTCTCCTTTTTTCTCAGTGTGCACATGACGGTTCACCTATTCATTCAGCATCTCTAGGGTCTCTGCCTGTGCTGGGAGGAATACTCTCCCCAGAGAAAAGACCAGAGCCACCATGATTTCTCGAGGTGGACATGAGTGCCCAGGTGGGACCTGCTGGGGCAGAGGAGGATTGGATGCTGTGCTCCGGAGTTAATCTCTTGATGTTGCTTTGTTTTTACATGTACACCCCATTTGTACAAGGAGGACATCTCTCTAAGAGACTCCTCATAACCCTGTATTCAGGTTGAGTTAGTTGGAGCCAGGCCAGTGAGTCAGCCTTCTGAAATAAGCATGTTTCAAGACTTTAGGTGATGAAGTGATTTTCTACAATAAGCCTCTTCAGTGCAGTTTCTCATAATAGACACTTTTGCCCTCTAAGTTATGTGTGTTCATTCCCTATTGCCACAAACATGGCCATTCAAAACAGCACACATTTATTATCACACAGTTTGTGGGCTGGAGTTCAGATACAGCTTGGCTTAGCTGGATCTTCTGCTTTGGGTCTCACAAGGGTGAAATCAAGGTGTCAGCAGCTGTGGTCTCATCTGAAGCTCAGGGTCCTCTTCTGAACTCATTGGTTATTGGCAAAATTAGTTCCCCCTCCTGCTTTTCATGTGGCTCGCTTCATCCCATCTTCAAACCAGCAGCAACAGGTCACATCCCATTCATCCTTCACATCTCCTAGACTTCCCTTTCTGCTCTCCTCTTCCACCAGCTGGAGAAAATTCTTCGCTCTTCGGGGCTCCTGTGATGACATCGGGTCCACCTGGATAATCCAGGCTACTCTCCCTATTTTAAGGTCAACTGATTAGTAACCTTGATTACATCTGCAAATAAAACTTTTGCCATGTATAACACAGACACATGTGGTTAGGGACATGAATCAGCAGCCAGACTGCCCAAATTGAACCCCAGCTCCTTCATTTACAAGCTATTAGATCTTCAGTAAGTCACCTCATGTCTCTGGGCCTCAGTTTCCTCATCTATAATGTTGCTGTGGTCCCCAGTCACTGGCTAACATGAGCCAGTACATGCAGAGTACTTAGAAAAATGCCTTGTCTTTGTCAATGCCCCGTAAATCCAAGTTGATATGCTTTTTATGCAACAAAATCTTTATCATGTTGCATTGTGTTTTGTTTAATACACCTGCCCCTTTTGATCTCAGAACCGCAAATGTTTCCTTAATAGAATCCTGGCACCATGTATCTCCCGTGTTTGGAAGTCCAACGTTTTCTCAGCCATGTGGAAGCACAAGCCCACAGTGAAAGGACGTGTGATTTTCCATTTCAGGCACCAGTCACATTTGGGGATTTGGCCATCTACTTCTCCCAGGAGGAGTGGGAATGGCTGAGCCCCATTCAGAAGGATCTGTATGAAGATGTCATGTTGGAAAACTACCAGAACTTGGTTTCTCTCGGTAAGGCTCTCCTGCCCCCATAATCCACAGCTGGCCCATCGTGGGAGATGAATCAATCAGTCTAGTCAAGAAAACAGAAGCCACTCCAGTTTTTTTTGTTGTTGTTTTAATGGCTTTATTTAGGTATAAATTACATATTATACAATTCACCCATTTGCAGTATGCAATTCAGTGATTTTTTTTTAAATGTATTTACAGAGTTGTGCATCCATTACCCTAGTCAATTTTAGAACATTTTCATTATCCCCAAAGGAAAGCCTATACCCATCATCAATCACTTTTTATTTCCCCCTGCCCACTAATCCCGCCAGATTAGGCAAACACTAATCCACTTTCTGTTTCTATGAATTTGCCTGTTCTTGGCATTCCATAAACATGAAATCAAATATGTTGTCCTTTATGTCTGGCGTCATTCACTTAATATTTTTGATGTTCATCTACATGGTAGTGTGTATCAATACCTCATTCCTTTTTATGGCAAAATAATATTCCACATTTTGTTTATCCATTCACCAGTTGGTGGGCATTTGGCTTGTTTCCACTGTGTGGCTGTTACGAATATGCTGCTGTGAATGTTCACATACAAATTTTTGTGTGGATGTATATTTTCATTTCTCTTGGGTATATACCTAGGAGTGGTATATGCTGGTCATATGGTAACTATATATGTAATCTTTTGAGGACACCTGGCTTGTTTTTAAGAGAAAAAATTTAAAGTATTGACTTAACAGGTACTATTAAAAGGTGAATATTAGACACAGATGGTAATTGCAGGACACAGCCACCATCCTAGGGCTGGGAGGACAGAGGGAAGAGTTGAGAGTTTTTAGGACTCTGAGGAAGGGACTCAGACTTCTGAAGGAGAGGGGTGCACTGCCTGGTTTATCCTCCTGAGGGGGCAAGATGAGGCTAGTTCTGGAAGTGCAGAGGAAAAAAGAAAAGCATAAATTGAAACCACCAGTACCCCTATTGGTGGATGCTGATACGGAGCACCTGGCATAGAAGTGTGGATTACAGCAGATCAGAGAACGGTGGGCTTGGGAGCAGAAAGGCAATAGCTGAATAACCAGCCTCAGGAGTTTCTGGTCCAACTTTTCATGAAAATAGTTGGCTTTGTAGAGTTAGAAATGAATAACTCTGCTGGCTATGACTGAACTTTCATCCTTCTTATTCTCCACCTATCCTTTACATCCTCCATGCTCCTCTTGCACTAATAAACCCCATTTTTGTTGCCACAAAGCTTGGCTCTAACAGCTGTGGTGCCCACATCATGCTCAGTTCCTTTGTTTTTCCTGTGTGCAGGACTTTCCTTTCGGAGGCCAAATGTGATCACCTTATTGGAAAAAGGGAAAGCACCCTGGATGGTGGAGCCAGTGAAAAGACGCCGGGGCTTGGGTGAGTGACGGAGAACCAAGGCTTAGAAGCTGGCATTCTGTGTAAGGGTGCCCTCCATCATGAGAGGGCAACATCTTTAAGATAATAGTTGAGAGCCATTTTCTCCACCTCAGAGGCCCCAGGCTTGGGCAGAAAACGCAAGCCTCTTCAGTATGAGCCCCAAGAGGGAGAATAACCAACATTTAACAAGCTCCTTATTAGGTACTCTTTTAAGTACAGGTTCCTCCCAACAACCCTATAAGGTAGGTACTATTATTATTCCTATTTTATAGTTGAGGAAGCTGAGGGCCAGAGAGGTTCGGTGACTTGCCCAAGGTCACCCATCTAGGAAGTGGCAGCAGAGTTGGAGTTTGAACCCCAGCTTCTGGTCCCAGAAGCTCAGCTTTTAACAGCCTCATCCCCACCTATCCAGTCCCCTGCCTCAGCTTTCATATTTCCCTTCAGAGAAAGTGTGTTCTGATTTCTCTAATGATAGCGTTTCAAATGATCTAACTTGCATCATTTTCTTCAATCCTTAAAAACAAAAATTAAAAATCTTTTCCATAGCTGTTTATTTTGACTGCTTTTCAAGAACTCATTCCCTTTTCTCATAGGTTCCTCTTTGGTTGGTCAAGTTATGGGTTTTTTAATTTTTTTTGTGTTTTTTTTGTTTGTTTTTACAGATTTATGAGTTTATTATTTGTGGTAAAAAGCACATAACATTAAATTTACCATCTTAACCATTTTAAAATGTACTGTTAAGTATATTCACATTGTTGACCAAGAGTTATCTAGAGCTTTAATTTGCAATACTGAAACTCTGTACCCACTAAATACTAGTTCTTCCCACCTCTCCTTTCAGCCCTTGGTATGATTTTGACTACTATGGATACTTCATATTAATGGAATCATGCAGTATTTGACTTTTTGTGACTGGCTCTTTTCTGCTTAACATAATGTCATCAAGGTTTCATCCATGTTGTAGTATGTGACAGGATTTTCTTCTTTTTTAAGGCTATATAATACTCCATTGTATATATATACCACATTTTCTTTATCCATTCATCTGTCAATAGACATTTCGGTTGCTTTCCTCTTAGCTATTGTGAATCATGCTGCAATGAACATGGGAGTACAGATATCTCTTCGAGATCCTGATTTCAATTCCTTTGGGTATGTACCCAGAGGTAGGATTGCTGGATCATATGGTAGTTATGTTTTTAATTTTCTGAGTAACCTCCATACCATTTTCCACAGTGGCTGCACGATTTTTCATTTCCACCAACAGTACACAAGGATTCCAACTTCTGCTCATACTCACTAGCACTTGTTATTCTTATTATTTTTTTTATATTTATTTATTTGGCTGCGCCGGGTCTTAGTTGTGGCACACGGGATCTTCGTTGCCGTTTGTGGGATCTTCGTTGCAGCACGCTGGTCTTACTGTGGCATGTGGGTTCTTTTTAGTTGCGGCATGTGGGTTCTTTAGTTGCGGCATGCAGGCTCTCGGTTAAGGCATGTGGGATCTAGTTCCCTGACCAGGGATTGAATTGGGCCCCCTGCATTGGGAGCATGGTGTCTTAACCACTGGACTACCGGGGAAGTCCTCTGGTTTTTTTTTTTTGATAGTGGCCATCCTTATGGTGTGAGGTGATATTGTGGGTTCAGTTTGCATTTCCCTGATGATTAGTGATGTTGAGGATCTTTTTATGTGTTTATTGGCCATTTGTCTGTCTTGGAGAAATGTCTGTTCAAGTCCTTTGCCCATTTTTTAACAGAGTTACTTGTCCATTGTTTTTAAATTGTAGGAGTTCTTTAAATATTTTACATGTTAATCCCTTATCAGATATATGATTTACAATACCCATAGGTTGCCTTTTCCCTGTCGTTTTCTTTGACATGCAAAAGTTAAGTTTGAAGTAGTCTCATTTGTCTGTTTTTTCATTTTGTAGCATGTGCTTTTGATGCCATATCTAAGAAATCAGTGCCAAATCGAATGTCCTGAAGCTTTTCCCCTATGTTTTCTTCTAGGAGTTTAATAGTTTTAGGTCTTACACTTAGGTCTTTAATCTATTTTGAGTTAATTTTTGTATATGGTGTATGGTAGGGGTCCAAGTTCATTCTTTTGCATGTAGATAACCAGTTTTCCCAACTCCGTTCGTGGAAGAAACTGTTCTTTCCCCATTGTATAGTCTTGGCACCCTTCTTGAAAATCATTTGACCAGATTTGCAAGAGTTTATTTCTGGGCTCTCTATTCTCTTCCTTTGGTCTACATATCTATCTTTATGCTACTACCACACCATCTTAATTATCAGGAAGTCTGAGCCCTCCTACTTCATTCCTCTCTTGCAAGATTGTTTTGGATGTTCAGGGTCCCTTGAGATTCCATATGAATGTTAGGACTTTTTTCTATTTCTGCAAAAAGATGTTATTGAGATTTTGATAGGGATTGCATTGAATCTGTAGATAACTTTGAGTGGTATGGACAGTTTTACAATATTAAGTCTTCCAATCCACAAGCACAGGATGTCTTTCCATTTATTTGTATCTTTTGATTTCTTTAGCAATGTTTGTAGCTTTCAGTGTACAAGTCTTTCATCTCTTTAGTTAAACTTGTTCTTAAATATTTTATCCTTTTTGATGGTATAATAAATAGGATTGTTTTCTCAGTTTCCTTTACGGAGTGGTCATGGTTAGTGTATAGAAACACAACTGATTTTCGGGTGTTGATTTTGTATCCTGCCACTTTACTGAATTCATTGATTGATTCAAACAGTGAGGTAGTTCCTTCTGTTCCTATTTTCTTGAGTGTTTTTATCATGTTAAATTTTGTCAAAAGCTTTTTCTGCATCAGTTGAGATGATCGTGTGGTTTTTATCCTTTAATTTGTGAATGTGATAGACTACATTTATTTTCCCATATTGAACTATCCTTGCATTCCAGGTGTAAATCCCACTGGCTCATGTGTATGATCCCTTTAATGTGTTGTTGAATCTGGTTTGCTAGTATTTTGTTTAGGATTTTTGCATCAGTATTTATCCAGGGATATTGGTCTGTAGTTTTACTTTGTTGTGATGTCTCTGGTTTTGGCATTAAGGTAATGATGGCCTTATACAATGAGTAAGTATTCCCCCTGCTTCTGTCTTCTGAAAGAGATTATGGAGAATTGGAATGATTTCTTCCTTAAATGTTTGGTAGGATTCACTAGTGAACACATAATGGGCCTGGTACTTTGTTTTTGAAGTTTATTAATTACTGATTCAGTTTTTAAAATAGATATACACCTATTCACATCATCTTTTTCTTGTGTGAGTTTTGGCAAATTATGTCTTTTAAGGAATTGATCAATTTCATCTAGATTATCAGATTTGTGGGCATAGAATTGTTCAGTTCTCTTTTATTATATTTTTAATTTCCATGAAATGTGTAATGATGTCCCCTCTTTGATTTCTGATATTAATTTGTGTCTTCTCTCTCTCTCTTAGTCTTTCTAGAGACTTACCAATTTTACTGATTTTCAAAGAACCATCTTTTTCTTTCATTGTATTTCTCTATTGATTTCCTGTTTTCATTTTCAGTGATTTGCTCTAATTCTTTTTTTTCTGCTTACTTTGGATTTAATTTGCTCTTTTTCTAGTTTCCTAAGGGGGAAACCTGAAGTTTTGACTTTAGGTTTTTGTTCTTTTCTATTATATGCATCCAGTGCTATAAATTTTCCTCTAAGTACTACTTTCAGTGCATCCCACACATTTTGATAAGTTGTGTTTCCATTTTCATTTAGTTCAAAGTATTTAAAAATTTCTCTTGAGATTTCTTCTTTGACCCATGTGTTATTTAGAAGTGTGCTGTATAATCTCCATATATTTGGGGATTTTCGAGTCATCTTTTTGTTAGTGATTTCCAGTTTAATTCCATTGTGGTTTGAAAGCAGACACTATGATTTCTATTCTCTTAAACTTGTTAAGGTGCGTTTTATGGCCCAGAATATGGTCTGTCTTGGTGCATGGTCCATGTGAGTTTGAGAATAATGTTAATTCTGCTGTTGGATGAAATACTCTATAGGTGTCAATTATATCCAGTTGAATGATGGTGTGGTTGAGTTCCATTATGTCCTTACTGATTTTCTGCCTGCTGGATCTGTCCATTTATGAGAGGAGGGTGTTGAAGTCTCCAACTATGATAGTGGATTCATCTATTTCTCCTTGTGGTTCTATCAGTTTTTGTCTCATGTAGTTTGATGCTCTGTTATTAGGTACATACATGTTAAGAATTGTTATGTCTTCCTGAAGAATTGACCCCTTTATCATTATGTAATATCCCTCTTTATCCATGATAACTTTCCATGTTTTTAAGCCTGCTCTATCTAGAATTAATATAGCTACTTCTGTTGTCTTTTGATAAGTGTCAGCATGGTCTACTTTTCTCCATTCATTTACTCTTAATCTATATGTGTCTTCATATCTAAAGTGGGTTTCTTATAGACAGCATACAGGTGGGTCATGTTTTTTATGCACCCTGAAAAATCTCTTTTAATTGATGCATTTAGACCATTGACATTTAAAGTGATTATTGATGTAGTTGAATTTATATCTACCATTTTGTTACTGTTTTCTATTTGTTACCTTTATTTTTTGTTCCTGTTTTTGTCTTCCACTCTTTTCTGCCTTTGGTGATTTTAAATGAACATTTCATATGATTCCATTTTCTATCTGTAGCATACTTTCTTTTTTTATACTTTTTCTTTTTTTACTTTTTAAACTCTTTTTAGTGGTTGCCCTAGAGCTTACAGTACACATTTACAGTTAATCCATGTCCACTTTTAAATAACACTGTACCACTTTGTGGATAGCATGAGTACCTTATAATAAAATAATGCTAACTCCTTCCTCCCATCCCCTCTATCATTGCTGTCATTTACTTCACTTATATATATAAGTATACATTAGCATACACACACACATAAGATAAATATGTAAGCATATGTAATCAAATACATTGTTGCTATTATTATTCTGAATAAACTTATCTGTTAGACTAATCAAAAATAATAAAAGGGGTTTTTTTTTGCCTTCATTTATTCCTTCTTCAGTGCTCTTCCTTTCTCTATGTAGATCCGAGTTTCTGACTTACAATATTTTCCTTCTCTCCAAAGGACCTCTTTAACACTTCTTGCAAGGCACGTGTACTGGCAACAGGTTCTCACAATACCTGTTTATATGAGAAAGTCTTTCTCTTTCACTTTTGCAGGAAATTTCCACAAGGTACAGAATACTAGATTGGTGGGTTTTTTTCTCAGTAATTTAAATATTTCATGCCACTCTCTTCTTGCTTGCATGGTTTCTGAGAAGTTGAATGTAAATCTAATCTTTGTTCCTCTATAGGTGGGATCTTTTTTCCCTCTGGCTTCTTTCAGGATTTTTTCTTTGATACTCTGCAGTTTAAAAATGATACACCTAAAAAAAAAAAATTATATGCCTAGGTATAGGTTTCCTAACATTTATCCTGTTTCGTGTTCTTCGAGCAGCTTAGATGTGTAATTTAGTGTCTGACACTAATTTGGGGAAGTTTTCAGTCATTATTCTTTTTTCTCTTTCTTCTCTGGTATTTCTATTACAGATATGTTATTTCTTTTGTAATTGTTCCAGTCTTTGGATATTTTGTTCTGTTGTTTCAGTCTTTGTTCTCTTTGTTTTCCAGGTTTTGAGGATTTTATTGATAAATTCTTTAACTCGCAGAATCTTTCCTCAGCTGTGTTAAATCTAACAAAAAGCCCATCAAAGGCATTCTTCATTTCTGCTACAGTGGTTTTGATCTCTTAACATTTCATTTTGTTTCTTCCTTAGGATTTCCATCTTTCTGCTTACATTGCCCATCTCTTCTAATATGCTGTATACTTTATCCACTAGAGTCCTTAGCATATTAAACATACTTGTTTAAAATTTCTGACCTGATAAGTCAAACATCCCTGCCATATTTGAATCTGGTTTTGATGCTTGCTTTGTCTCTTCAAGTTGTGTTTTTTGCCTTTTGGTATGTCTTCTAATTTTTTCTTGATAGCCAGCCATGATATACCATTTAAAAGGAACTGCTCTAAATAGGCCTTTAGTGATGTGATGGTGAGGTGGGGGAGGGGAGAAGTCTTTAGTCCTATGATTAGGTTTTCAGTCTTTCGGTGAGACTTCTCTGGATTGTGAACATCACAAGTGATTCTGTTTTTCCCTCCCATGTTAGGTGGGACAAGCTGGCTAGAGCCAGGTGGAGTTGGATATTTTTCTTCCCCAGGTCAATTAAGCTCTGATAATACCTCAGCCTGGTAGGCTCTGGTTACCTACCTAGTGTCCCCTGAGGGCAGGCCTGATTAAGAGGAACAGACTGATCTGGCATATTTCAAAGTGATTCCTTTTCTCCACCCCCTGGAGGCAGCCCAAGATAATTTTTCTCCTATATTTAAGGTGAGAATCTGATCAAAATCCTAAAGGTAAATCTTGCCATATTTTGTGGGCTGCTTTGACTAGGTCCCCCTGGAGTTTTTAACTCTCAGAGTTGTTGGCACTGAGCCTCCAACAATTCATTAATTATAGTTTAGGTTTTCCTGCCCCAACACAGATTCCCATGGTGGTTGTGCTTGTGAGTCTCTGCTCCAGTAAGCTTCGGTTTGTCTGTCCAGTCTTGGAGGAAGTGGTTCTCCCTGTGCCCTCCCCTCTATAATGGATCTAAGAAGAGTTGTAGGACAAAATGGTGACTTCCAAACTTTTACATGAGGAGCCAGAAACCAGTAGTCCAGTTTGGTCTTTTTTTAAGATTCGATTTTAAGAATACATTTTAAAAATTTACAACTTTATTGAGCCACATACTGTAAAATTCATCCATATTAAGTGTATAATTCAGTGGTTTTTGCTAAATTTACCAAGTTGTGCCACCATCGCCATAAACCAGTTTTAGAACAGTTTTGTCACCTCAGTAATATCCCTCATGACCATTTACAGATAATCCCCATTCCCACCTTCAGCCACAGGCAACCAGTAATTTACCTTCTGTCTGTATTTTACCTTCTGCCTTTTCTGGACATTTCCTATAATAAAACTACATTCATCTGCTGAACAATGTATGGAGTTTAATGTATATGGTATACGTTTATTCTGTAAATAAAACCTTTATTTATTCATTTCCAATTGCGCTTCCCTGAATTTCAGTTATTAAATGTTTCTATAAAGCCCTTACTGTGTTAAAACCATAATGAGACACTAAAAAGTTATTCTGATTATCATTGTTATTATGATAATGATTGCAAATAGCTTTATTTTTCTAGCACAGGAAAACAAATTGAATTTCTTGATGTCTTTCAGACTTAGGGTCTAAATGGGAGACCAAGAAGTTATCTCCATATCAGTGCAACAAATCTGGGCAAAGCATCTATCAGAAAGCAGTTTCTGCACCACAAAAAGTTCCCACAGGAAAGAGAGGCTGCAAGAAAAATTCAGTCCTAATAAAACCCAAGAAAGTGCATTCAAAGAAGAAATCTCTAAAATGTAACGACTGTGGGAAATTCTTTAGTCAAAGCTTATCTCTTAAACTTCATCAGAACTCTCATACTGGAGAGAAGCCTTATGAATGCAGTAGTTGTAGAAAAGCTTTCAGACAGATCTCATCCCTTATTCTTCATCAGAAAATTCACAATGGAAGGAAAAGCTATGAATGTGATAAATGTGGGGAAAGCTTCATTCAAAGAACAACCCTTATTTTACATGGGAGAAGTCACAAGGAAAAGGAAATCTTTGACTGTGGGAAGGCCTTGAGTCAATGCCAATCTCTCAGTATACATCAGAAAATCCACCTTGTTCAAAATGTCTACCAGTGCAGAAAATGTGAGAAAGCCTTCATTCGAATGTCATCTTTTTTACTTCATAAGAAAACTCACAATGGAAAGAAAATACATAAATGCAATAAATGTGGGAGAGGCTTCAGTAAGAAATCAGTCCTTGTTATACATAAAAGAATTCATACTGGAGAGAAAACCCATGAAAGTGAGAAGGCCTTAAGTCAGAGTTTACAGCAGCAAAGTCACCATATAGAGAATCCTTACAAATGCAGAAAATGTGGGAAATCCTTTAATAGGATTTCATCCATTATGCTTCATCAGAGAATTCACGCTTCAAAGAAACCCTACAAATGTGATAAATGTGAGAAGATCTTCATGCGGCTTTCAACCCTTACTCTACATATAAGAATTCATAATAGAGAGAAACTGTACAGATGTAATAAATGTGAGAAGGTCTGCAACCGGCATTCATCCCTTATTCAACATCAGAAAGTTCATACAAAGAAAAAGAAATTGTTTGAATGTAAGGAATGCGGGAAGATGTTTTCTGGAATTGCCAACCTTAAAATACATCAAAACATTCATTCTGAAGAGAAACCTTTCAAATGCAATAAATGTAGTAAAGTTTTTGGCCGCCAATCATTTCTTATTGAACATCAGAGAATCCATACTGGAGAAAAACCCTATCAGTGTGAGGAATGTGGGAAAGCCTTCAGTCACCGAATATCTCTTACTCGACATAAGAGAATTCATACTGAAGATAGACCCTATGAATGTGATCAGTGTGGGAAGGCCTTCAGTCAGAGTGCACACCTCGCCCAACATGAAAGAATTCACACTGGAGAGAAACCATATACATGCAAAACGTGTGGGAAGGCCTTTAGCCAACGCACATCCCTTATTCTACATGAAAGAAGTCATACTGGAGAGAAACCCTATGAATGTAACGAATGTGGGAAGGCATTTAGCAGTGGCTCAGATCTTATTCGGCATCAGAGAAGTCATTCTTCAGAGAAGCCTTATGAGTGTAGTAAATGTGGGAAGGCATATAGTCGGAGCTCATCCTTGATTCGACATCAGAATACACATTCTGAGGAAAAGGCTTAAGATTGTTTTAAATATGTAAAAGGTAAGAGAGAGGCTAGCAAAGTAGCAGAGACACAGGCATGGAAAAATGCATTTGTCTATAACATAAAATGTGTAAAAATGGGACAGTTTGATGATGTGTCCCACTTTGAAACCCAAAGAGCAAAAGTCATTGGTGATTTTGACCTGAGTATTTGAAATCAACTGAGGCAGTGACTTTATCATAGGTCTTTGTTTCAAAACAGCAAGCTCAGATGATTGGATCAGTCATTTTTAATGAAGAGCATTCTTCATTTGATTAAAAAAAAAAACTGGTACTTTATTTCCAATGTAATTTTAAAGCTATTGCATTGGTTATGTACAACAAAGTGAATTGTAAATCCATTTTTCTGGATGGAGCTATGAGCCTGATTTAAGGTCACATGAAGAAAGAGTTTGAGTTTGTCCCTTAGAACTAGAAGTATCACACAGAAGGGATTTCCTCACAAACCAGGGTGCCATTTTCAGCTGGCAGAAACTTCTGGTTGAGAATAAAGAAGATTGAGTAAAGATAGCACTCATAATTGTGTGAAGCAATAGAGTCACTACCACACTGTCTCTATGGATATGAAGACATATGATCTTAATGGTGTGAAAAATCTAACAAGCCTGGGACAAGCTAATGAGGAAAAAAAAAAAAAACAGGCTGTATTGAAGAATGAGGAACTTCAGAACAAGAGAAATCATTTGTTACTGTTTTGTTCGAAAATGAATTTATATTTATATGAATAAACATTGGTATTTTCATGTGTAAACACTGGTGTACAACAAGTGATTGGTGGAGAATGGGATGTCATGGACTGAATGTGTCCTCCCAAAATTCGTTTGTTAAAACCCTAACCCCCAATGTGATTGTATTTGGAATTGAGGCCTTTGGGAGATAATAAGGGTTAGATGAGGTCATGAGGGTGGGGCCCTCATAATAGGATTAGTGTTTTTAAAGAAGAGACACCAGAGACCTCTGCCATGTGAGGACACAGCAAGAAGGTGGCTATCTGCAAGCCGAGAAACTAGCCCTCACCAGTATCCAACCTTGTGGCATCCTGATCTCAGACTTTCAGCCTCCCAAACTGTGAGAAATAAATTTTGTTTACATCACCCAGCCTATGGTATTTTGTTATGGCAACCTAAACTGACTAATACACGGGAAAAACCCTGCATTTATGTGCCAGGCTCTTTCATGTCAGCTGTTCACCATATATATAATAGTTTTCAGTGCTTCTTTCCAGTTTGTGCAAAATGTGTAAGAAATAAAATCAATTCTTTTTTGGAATTGGGTTATATACAGTTGGACTCTTCTGTGTGCGTTTTTCTATTGCAAAAGCTACTTTTGAAAGCACCTATATCTAAGACAACTTTGTGAAATGTTTGACCACATGGATTATGTCCCTCTAACTTTGACCACAGCTGAGAAGACAACAACTGGATTTGTGAAGGGAGCACGCATGTAGGATAATAGAACAATTTTCCATTTAAACTTGTCATATCAGTCTGCAAGATCAGCATAAAAAATCAACACTTCAAGCAAATCGATGAGCAAACAGCATAGAGAAGGCTCATGGAGTGGCATGTCTTTTCTCCCTATCCTTCTATATACACACCCCTCTACTTTGTTGAGCCCTCTGTCAATCTGCCATAGAGGTTGGTTCCAAAATAATGGTCACAAACCTAACATGTATAAGACACTGTTCTTGTCTGCAGGCATTTACAGTTTAGGGAATACAGGATATTTAAATATGGAAGCATATAATGTACACAGGTAATATAGAGGATGATGAACTCCATGGTGATGGGTCACTTGGAGACAGCGATAGTATTAAAGGGAGAGTAGATATTTACTAGGCACACAAAAGTTGGGAGGCTGTTGAAGGCAAGAGAAAGTACAGAGATACAAACTAAAGGCAGAGGGTTGTGGAGTATTAGGGAAGTTAAAAGTTCCAGCATTTAGTACAGTGACTGGCATATAGAAAGTAAGTACTCAATAGTATTGAATGAATGAAAACAGTTTAGTTGGCCTGTCTCTAAGGCATAATCCAAAGAGAACACTGAAATTTGAAGGTCACACAGACATTGAGATTAACCCATGGAAAACATGCTCTCACTAAGGGATCACTAGTGAATTTTTTTTTTTTTTTTTTTTGCGGTATGCGGGCCTCTCACTGTTGTGGCCTCTCCCAATGCGGAGCACAGGCTCCAGACGTGCAGGCTCAGCGGCCATGGCTCACGGGCCCAGCCGCTCCGCGGCATGTGGGATCTTCCCGGACCGGGGCACGAACCCGTGTCCCTTGCATCGGCAGGCGGACTCTCAACCACTGCGCCACCAGGGAAGCCCCACTAGTGAATTTTGAAGGCTGTGATGAACTTAGGGTAACCACAGCAAGGAGCAACCTTAAACCTAGTCCAATTTTTAACTATATTAATGAAAACCTACGTGAAAGGCATAACAAGAAATGACGTGACCGTTTCTAGGGCTTAAATCTGTTTACCTCTGTTTCTACTGTCCTACATGAGATACCTGGGTTTGGGCCAAAATATAAAAATTACATGACATACAAAAATGCAAGAAAAAATCACCACCCACCAAAAGACAAAGCAGTCAAGAACTAGACCCAGACTACCTCACACAGAATTTTAAATAATATGTTAAAGGCTCTAATGAAAAAAGTGTACAACAGGCAAATTAGATGGGTCATTTGATCAGAGATGGAACTATGAGAATCAAATGGAAATACTGAAATGAACACAGTAAAGAGATGGGAACAATACCTTCAGCAGGCTCAAAGGTATACTTGACATAGCCAAGGAAAGAATAAGTCAACTTGAAGGTAAGTCAATAGCCAAACTGAAACACAGAGGAGGGCAGGGGTGACAGAACAAATCGTCCAAGAGCTGTGGGAAAAGATCTGTTGGTCCAACACATGCAGAATTGGATTCCCAGAAGGAATAGAGAAATTGGGTGAGAAGAAATATTTGAATAAACAATGACACCAGAACAAAAATCTATAAAGCTTCAAAGAATACAAGGAAAGATTTTTTTAAAAAGACGTTACATAGGAACAAAAGGGGGAAAAAACTGTCTTTATGAAATTTTTCATGAAAATGTCTTTCAGAATTGATAGAGAAATGCAGACTATCTCAGAGGAGGAAAAAACAGAAAATACATTGCCAGAAGACCCTACTCTAATTTCATTTAACAGTTCTTTAAACAGAAGGCGATGCACAAAGAAATAAAGAGATCTGGAAATGGAATAAATGAAGGTAAGATAGTTTTTTTTTTTAAATTTATCTACCCAAAAGCTGTCTAAAACAGTATGCTATAGCGTATATCAGTGTAAATAGATGACAGAAGCACAAAGGATGTGAGGGAGAAATTAAGAAATATATTGTGTAATATCTTTACTTGTTAATGTTACATTACTTGGTTAAAGACATATTGTAACCTTACAGTAACCTCTAAAACATTTTAAAGAGATGTAAGCAGTTAATAGAATAAAATGGAATAATTAAAAATCCTCAGTTAACCTAATAGAAGGCAGAAAGAGAACAAAAACCAAAGAATAGGCAGAACAATTAGAAAATAGTTAAGAGGATGGATGGGTTTTAATCCAAATATATAAAAAATTGCATCAAATATAAATGGTCAAAACACACCAGTTAAAAGACAGATTATAAGATTGAATGAAAAAGCAGGACACAGCTATATGCTGTCTAGCAGAAAATCACTTTAAAGGCATAGGTAAAAGTTAAGTAGTGGGGAAAGATAGATCATGCAAGCATTGGTAAAAAAGAAGCTGAATTCACTTTTAATATCAAATGAAGTAGACTTCAGAGTAAGGAATATAATCAGGGAAAGAAACAAACACTACGTAACAATAAATTTTCTAGGTAAACATAACAATCCTAAACGTATATGCCTCAAACTACAGAGGTGCAAATTTCACAAAGGAAAAAAGAAAGTGTAGTCTACAACTATCATTAGAAATGTCACCACTTCTCTCTCAGTCATTGATAGAACAAGTAGAAAATCTGTAAGAATATAAAACTGAACAACATGATCAACCAAATTAATGAGTTGACCTTTATAAAACATTCCACTCCACAAGAGTAGAATACGCTTTCTTTCCAAGTCTTCCAAATGTTCTTTCCACATGGAATATTTCACCAAGAGACTGTAAAACAAATCTTAATAAAATTTTAAAATTTAGTTATATAAAGTATATTCCCTGTTCATACAGAACTAAACTAGCAATAACAGCATGGTATCTGAAAATATTTGGAAGGTTTAAATTACAAATTCCACTTTTTAAATAGATACAGAATTAAATTTACTATTGAATAAGTGGACCCACACAGTTCAGACCCAAGTGATTTGGGGTCAACTGTAATGAGTACAGAGGAATCACAGAAGTAACTGAAAATGCTGCGATTTAAATCATGATGGGAAAGACCCATTATGTGATACTTTCTGTGCCGTTTTCTGATATGTCACACACTCCTGGAAATACATAAGAATTCAGAAATTGGCTAATAAGCATCAAATAATCTTCAAACGTGTGGGTTTTTCTTCAGTTTCTTCTTTCTCAGATACATATGCAAAAATTCAGGCAATTCAGGCAGATGTAACAGGTTAGAAATGAGAAAGCCCCCAATTTCCCACCTGATTTTAAAGTCAAGAACTTGACATGTAATTTAACTTCTTAAAGTGCGGACCCCTCCACTGCTCTGGCTGCATCTCGGGCCACCCTCCTCGGGCCCCGCCACCTCGAGGAGCAAGCACACCTTTTCCTCCACTGCTGTCACCACATGACACAGAACCTACATCCTGTGGGCATCTGCTTGATGACCTCGTGCCGAGTTCGCCTCAGTCATTTCTTACTGCCCCAGTATGTTTGATTCCCAGTACTCTTGCCACATTGCCGAAAAATGGAATGAACTTTGAGTCATTTAGAAGAGAACAAGCAGCTATTTGGGAAAAGCCAAGGTAGACTGTACACTCAATCCTATTTTTTTAATTGACC